ATATAGAACAGATCACCTTTCATATGTATGTGATATATATGGCATGTGATATGTATAATATGTATGGTATATATAGGATTTCTTTTAATGGGGCCACCCCCAATTCAGAGTTTCTTGATGAAAATTGTAAAAATGATGCAGCCCAATTCCACTTCTTTGCTGCCCGGATTCAGCTTGGCAGTCAAGGCCGGTTTTCTGTCAGGCCCTAGGAAGCAGCAGTGTGGGTAGTAGTGGGGTGAGCCCCTCTGTGCTTGGCTCCCCCTTCCGCTGGGACTGGGGGCCCACAGCCCACATGGCCACAAGACAAGCCTGGGGAAAATCACAGAGCACTGGGTCCCACGGGGGCCGGTCTTTGCCGTGGGTAGGAAAGTACTCCCAGCCGCCCGAGCCTCAGTTCCGCCTCTGCACGGGAAGGTTCATCTGGAGCCACAGTATCCAGAGTGGTGGCCACGAGCCGTGTGGCCAATGAACACCTGAAATATGGCTCATGGGAAGGGACAGAAGTTTACATTTTTGTTTAATTTTCAGTAATTTAAGTTTAAAACTGAAACTTGACTCCGTTATTGGGAACGTTAAGTGTTTGGGGGGCAGCTTGGGTATATATCAGTCTACTTTTCCAGGGTAGATTCTGTGAAAGCTCACTTCAGATCATGAATTCCCAGTGCACATTTAACGTCTGCATGGGGACGTGCTGTAATTGTCCACACCAGATTTCAAAGACAACGTGAAGGAGAGAATATAAAATATTCATAATTTTTTATATTCATTCTGTGTTGGCATGATAATGTTGCATCGCTGTTGGGTTAGATCAGGTGGTTTATTAAAGTTAATGCTACATCTGGTTTAGTTCTTAAAACTGTGGTTTACTGACGTGGCTTGCATCGTAGTTCTGTTGGACAGGGCTGGTCTAGAATTCTAGTTCCGGCTCTGCTTCTAAGGATCTGAGTAGGAGAGACGCAAGGTCACGTGGAGTTCAGTGGGTTACTTGACTGCCGGGGCCTTTGCAGAGTTTCCTTGTCTTGTCTGGCCTTTTGAGGTTCATCCATGCTGTGGATGTCAGTATTTTTATTCCTTTTTTTGCCAAGCAGTGTTCCCTTGCCCCATACTTGGTTTGATTATGGGAATTTTTTTTCTTAAGTGAGGTTTCCTGAGGTGTGATTTACTCAATAAAGTGTACCCTTTTGTAGGGTTCTTTGCGTCCCCTGGACCACTACAGTTGAGACCAGGCCCTGTCCCTCCAGGAGGTGCCCCCTAACCCTTTGTGGTCAATCCCCTGCCTCAGCCATTCTGCTGGGTGGTTCTACAAACCCTGCAGTTTGAACTCTTGGAACATGTCCTAGCAATGCTTGTGAGATGGATCGTTGTTGCTGTGTGCTTCGGCATTTCGTGGAATCCTTCGCTTTTATTTAATTTTATTTCCCCCCTGGAGAGCCCTGTAGATACGGGGTTATGAGGACAGACTTCCAGGATGCGGGTGTGTGTCCAGGGCCGTGTCCCGGACCCCGGTGGCGGCCATCTGGCCACTCGGCTGTCACCTTCGTGGCAGCTTCTCTTTCCTGCTCAGCCTGGCCCTTTGTCAGCTGCTGCTTTTTCTGCAAGGCTTCTAGGAGCCCAAGGTCAGGGCAGCAGGGATGGGCTGGTGCATTTCCTCAAGGAAAGCTGCTGTTTCCCAGACAGGGTTTGGGTGGTTAAAGGAACACAGGCCTCAGGAAATTGCTGGTGTGGGTGAGTCACAGGAGGGGCCGCTGGCAGGGAGCCTGGTGGCTGAGGTTGGGGTCCTCCGTGAAGGACTGCTTCTCTGAGCAGATGTCCAAATCAATGTTTCACAGGCTGGATGAGTCTGCTGCAGGCCAGGGGACACAGTGGCATGTGTCACCTTGTGGGACAGCTCGTAGGATGTCTAAAAAAGAAACAAGTGAATAGAACCCCCTGACGCTTTTGAAGGGCCAGAGGTCAGGAAGGAGATTTAAGTGAGAGGTTTGGAAAAGAACCTAGGTGCAGATTTGGGTCGGGTTGCTGATTGCCAGGGCTCCTCCATGGTTCTGGAATGTTCTGAACCCTCTCTCCTTCCCTCCTTACTCTCCTGTGTGCCACCGCCCACTGCGTTCTGATGTGTCTGCTGTTGTCACGATGGCTGTGCCTGTGACCTGCGCGATTCTGGGTCCTCCTCTTGGCTCAGACCAGTTAAAGGCCCTGCAGAAGAATTATGGCAGGCTGCAGCAGGGTGTTCTCCAGTTTCAGAGGAACCAGACCAACCTGGAGAGGAAGTTCTCCTACGACCTGTAAGTGCGTCTCTACATCTAGTGCGCACCCCTCGGGGGCTGATGTGTTCTGAGCAAGGGGGCGGGCGGTGGGCATAAGCTGGGCTCCCCCTTCCCGTCATGGAGCACACAGGCTCTGCGGGAGGTCCAGTCCTTCCAGGGTAGTCCTTTAGAACAATGTGCTTTATTACTTAAGCGTGAGCAGTGCCTCAGAAAGCTGTGGAAAAGCCGGTGGCTCATAATACAAAGTAAACAAGAGGGCGGTGCTCCTTAGAAAGAAATGACTTTGTCAACACACTTTTTTTTTATAACATATTTTTTTTAATGTTTATTTATTTAAAAA